ATGGTTTAAGTTATTCTCGTGCCTCATAGTTAAGAGCTACATGGGAGGCATTACTAGCAAAATCAATTATCGCCCAATTGCAATAGCATCAGTAATATTTAAATTCTCCGAGAATATTCTGTCTAGGGATACGTTACGCTCCAATGACTACCAATTTACTTTTAAATAGAACCACTCAACGGATACCTGTGTTTATGTATTTAAGCAGGTTTAGATTACTATATAATAGGAACGGAAGCCCGGTGTATGTATGCTTCTTAGATGCTAGTAAAACCTTTGACAGATTTAACCACTGGACAATTTAAAACACTTATTGATAGAAATGTACCGTTAACTGTTGTACGAGTAATAAAGTCTTGGTATTGTAGTCAACAATTTCTAATACGCTGGGGAACCCAATTGTCTAGACAATTCTCCGTCACTAATTGAGTGAGACATCCCCCTTTGTGTACAATGCTTATATTTCTGAACTAAATGATAAATTCAGGGTTGTTGTTAGTAAAAATTACAGCAGGTAAAAAAGATTTTACAGCAGGTAACTTGCAAATGGACACCGAGTACACCCACTTCGGCCGGGGGTCCGGGTCCCGCTCAAGGGCCCCGGAAGCTCTAGGGTCTAGATGCTCTCTGATGCCATTAGAGCACTTTTAGAGCACTAAATAATTACTTTAAAAAATAAATATTTTTGACATATTTTTAAGGGCATTTTTGATTTGCAGAAGAATTTCAGCACAAATAACCGGATGACATATGCAGTATACAACAGATTTTGGCTAAAATTTTACTGTTTCAATAATTTAATGAAACTTAAAACATTTAAAAAATAATTAATTACCATGGCATTATAGTCTGTATTCTTTTTATTAACAAAACTTTTGGACCAGGACTACAAACAATTGGACCAGGACTACAACTCTGTGATTCTGCAGAGTCTATAGCAACTGCCCTAGGCCCTATACCTCTTACGTTTCACCGCACTAGGCCTAGTTTAATAATAGGTAGGCCATGATTAACTAGGCTACGCTAAGCCT